TGGCTGGGGGCTTCTGCCCGCCGGAGGCTGCCGCTGACCGACCGCTACGCGCTCCTGCACTGGCACAATCAGGTGTACCCCAGGTGAGCTTGAAAGGGGTTCCCCAAGTTCCAGGGTCAAGTCCCCGAGAAACCCCAGGCCCAGTCTTCAGCCTGGACTCTCAGATCCTAAGAGCCTTGGACCAGCTGAACCTTCAGACCGGGCACCTCCATACGTGGACATCACTGGGCCCTCACACTGGGGAGATGCAGGTCGCAGTCTCAGCGCCTCAGCAATGGGTCCTGCCAGTTCTAAGCCCTTAGTTCGAGGTCCTTCCAGTCCTAGAACCTCGGCACTAGTTGGGCCAGAGAATCTTTGCTGACCCACACCTACTCTGGGGATCTCACTTACGCCCATTCTTCTAGTTCTAGAACGTGAACGCGTTATCTTTCCAGCCCTAAAATGTTAGCACCACGAATCCTCTTAGACCTAGAGCCTTTACCTCCACGGCAGGTACACTCCCAGAGCCTTAGCTACCGAGGGCCTTCCAGTCCTAAAAAGCTTAGTGCGGGGCCACCAGGTGGCATAGGATTCGTTGCTGGACTTCCACATGACTGGCCACGGTTCCAGTCCCGGACCTGGCGGGTTGAAAAACATACTGGGTTCCTACCATGCCTGCCCCAAGTGCCCAGAGGAGAATGGACTAGAAGGGATTGAGGCAAGGCCACCTGCCCTAGGGGGTCATTTCCCACTTTCCCTCTCACTGTCTCTCTCTTTCCTGAGTGCATGCACCCTACGGCGAAAACCTTAAAAAAAAACAAATCTCAGTGCCACCCACCCTTCCAGACCCAGAACCTATTTGCACACTGACTCCCAGTCCAAAACCTGAGCACGACTCACCATCTTCTTAACTCAGCACCATGGGCCCAAATAGTCCAGGAACCTAAGTTAGAGACTTTGACACGCTTCTAGAATCTAGGCTGCTTGCCCTCCTGGAAGCCCAGCCCTACTGACCATTCCCATCCGGTGAGCATTAGCACTGTTGACCCTTAGATTCTAGAATTTTATTTATTAGTTGTGATTTTCAACTGGGCCTGGGACTCAAACAGCAGTCAGCCCTGTGGAAATCCAGCCCCTTCACCACCACGCCATCTGCTGGCCTGAATTCTAAAATCTTTACTGGGCTCTCTCTGTTCATCCTAAGGCATTGTTAGCACTGCTGACTTTTTCAAACTTAGAACTGCAGAATGTATTATTTTTTCAACCCTAAACGTAGTGCCAAAGAGCCTTTGGGTTCCGAACCCTAGTCTGGCCGCCCTTTGCAGCCTAGAACATTGGCACTGTGACCCCGCCGGCTTTAGGACTTCCGTGCTGTTGACCCCTTGAATTCTGCAGCCTTAGCGTGCAGAGCCTGAGCACCGATGATCCTCCGGGCCCTAAGATCTCAGCACTAGTGAGCTTCTGAATCCTGAAACATTCTTGTGGCCAGGGGCTGGAATGTGGTGATTAGCCACAACTGGGTCACCTCTCCACTCCGGGGAAGAGGGAGTTGGTCACAGTCAAGCCACATGTCAGAGAGTGGAGGGGGGTGGGTGGCTGCTTGGACAAAGCCAGAATGCTGCCCCCAGAGGAATAGGGGGTAACAGTTACCAACTTCTCCTGCATAGACCTCATTTGGGGTGCATAATAATGACATGTGCATGCCACCCGGGAGAGATAGAGGTAGGATAGGGAGTGGCAGGACATGGGTTAGGTCCGATGTGTAGGGAGATGGTGTTTCTGATCCGAGGGTGCCATAGATAAAGGTCAGGGCATGCGCGGGGTCGCTGGGAGGCGTGGGGTGGGCAGTGATGGTATCCCACCGCCCAGAAGGTGAGGGCTGGACTGAGCTAGGTGAGGTGGCAGCTGAGGAGCAGAGGTGGGAGGGAGCTTCTGTTTGGAGAGGCTGAGCATGGGCGAGGTTGCATGTCAGATCATCAAGCCTGAACTTGACCCCTGCAAGTCTTGCCCGGACACCATCCATCAGGGCGCTGACTCAGAGCGGGAGCCAGGGGAGCAGCCATTCCACAGGCTTCCTCTGAGGGATGAGCAAAGCTGGCCCAGAGGGAGGAAGGGAGTGGCCCTGGGGCTGTGAGGGTCTGGGGATGGGTCCGCCTGTCCAGCCCCACCTCTCACCAACCTCCCTGTCTCTTATCCCCCACCCCCAGGGAGGTCCTAGGTCTGGTGGACATGGTTGCCCTGGAGAACGGGGAGCTGGGGCCCCTTCTTTCCCCTGGCACCCTGCGGGGGTTGGAGGATGAATGTGTCACAGACGTGAAGGTACCTGGGACTTGGCATTGTCAATTTGGGCATGGGAGGCACCTGAAGAAAGAAAAAGAGGGGTCACAGTCAGCCAGGAGGGGGGCTTCTCCCTCCTCCTTCACTGTTTCTGTGTCCCCTTTTTCTTTTTCTGTCTTCTTTTTTTTTGGGGGGGAGGGCAGAGGTTTTTGCTACAGGGCACGTGCGCTTGCCAGAAAGACAGAGAGAGACAGAAAGCAAGAAATCACCCCCGGGGGAATGGCCATGCCACAATCCCTTCTCCTCCATTCTCCTCTCGGGATCCTGGGCATGCATGCGCACGCGCCCGGCGTGAGTTTAAGCTACCAGGTCCGGGACTCAAACCATGGTTGACTACATGGGAGTCCAGTGACATAGCCATTACGCCAACTGCTGTTCCCATCCATCTCCCCTTTTCTTTGTGAATTGCTGAGCTCTGTCCAAAAGCCAGATGTGTGAGCACACACTGGTCATTGCTGTCTCCGTTCCACGCTCGAAGCGGGCACCCAGCCCCGGGGGATGGAGACAGTGCGTTCAGAGGCAGCAAACCTGAGTCCACAGGCCGGCCTGGCAGCACTGCCAGTAACAAATGGAACTGCATGGCCGGAAGCCACGTGGCTGACGCAGGTTCAGATTCCTGGGTCAGCTTGAAAACACGCTGGGCGCATACATATGTGGGTAAGACCTGGTGACCAGGGAGGCTGGGGAACGGGAGTTGGAGTGTGCCAAGAACCTGTCAGGGTGCCTCTCTCTCTCGTGCACACACACACACACACACACTTTATCATGAATAAAGCAAACTTACAAAAGAGAGCCCAAAAAGTTCACACACGCAAAAACGTCTTCGGCAAGAGAATGCTGGCACAGAACCTCAGCTCACAGACCCAGAGACTCAGAACTGCGACCTCAAAGCACCTTTGCAAAAAAGCAGGCAGGGCTGACAGGAAACGTAGCCGGTAACTCAGCACGGGCCCTGTTGTGAGCCCCGTTGGGCAGACCGGCCCCAGCCATGCACACCCCACCTGGCTGCGGGGCTGTTTCCCATCTCAATGCCGGTCCTGCCCCCGGCACAGAAATCCGAATCCTTGTAACGCACGTGCTAGAATGATGGGATCAAACACGTGCAGCTTCTTAGACTCAGAAGCTGACCCACTCACTGAGAGGATTAGAGCTGCGTAGAACTTTGAGTCCCAAACCTTTGGAATTCTGAGCATTTTTTAATGTTCATTTATTTGTTTTTAAAATTTGCTGTAGGGCACATGTGCTCACCAGAGAGAGAGAAAGAGGGAGAAGGAGGAAATGAGAAAGCGCCCCCATGTGGAGGAGCCACACCAGTCTCTTCTCCATTCTTTCAGAATCTGCGGCACACATGCGCACACAGTGTGTGTGTGTGTGTGTTTTGTTTTGTTTTGTTTTGTTTTGCTTTTTGGAGAGGAGAGGTTTTTGCTATAGGACAAAGAGAGACAGAGAGATAGAAAGCGAGAAATCACCCCCCCAGGGGGGACGGCCACGCCGCAATCCCTTCTCCTCCATTCTCCTCTTGGGATCTTGGGCACGCACACGTACATGCCTGGCATGAGTTTAAGCCACCAGATCTGGGACTCAAACTGTGGTGGGCTACATGGGAGTCCAGCGACATAGCCCTTACACTAACTGCTAGTCCCATCCAGTGTGTTTTTTAAGCTTCTGGATCTGGGACTCAAACCATGTACTTGGCCATATGGGATCTAACTGCCTTAACCACCACACCTGGCTGGCCCCTGAGATTCTTTTTTATTTTTTTTTTTAAGAGAGGTTTTTGCTATAGGGCACACAATCGCCCCTCGGGGGAGATGGTCACACCACAATTCTGTCTCCTCCATTCTCTTCTTGGCATCTTGGGCACAAACACACACATGCCCATCATGTTTTAAGCTGCTGGGTTTGGGACTTGAACTGCTGTTGACTATGTGGAAGTCCAGCAATGTAACCATTATGCCATCTGCTGGTCCCATGAGGTTCTTTTTTTATGTGTATTTATTTATTCTGTGAGAGGGAGGCAGAGAGTCAGGGAGGTGTCCTGGGCAGGGTCTTCATGCCACGATCCCATCCCTAGTCTCATCCAACTACACAGGAGGTCTGCAAACACAGAGAGGCCCTGGGACATGAACCCAGCACCTTCCCGTACAGTGGCAGCATCATTACTGCTGCACCACTGCATGTGGCCCACAATCTGAGAATCTTGAGCTAATTAATTTGCAACACCTTACAAACCCCAGATAATGAAATAATGGGCTCTGAAACCCTCTGGCTTTAAGATGAAGGGTGCTCGAGATGAGCAGATGGTGTAACGGTTACGTCGCTGGGCTCCCACATGGCCGACCATGGTGGTTCGAGTCCAGGACCTGGAAGGTTGAAACTTACCGCCCGAGTATGCGCGCATGCCCAGAGTGATTTCTGGCTTTCTCTCAGGGGAGCACACGCGCCCTACAGAGAAACCAGCCTCACCTTGTGAGTGGGTAGAGTCCAGAACTGCTTGGGCTCAGGGCAAGGAGAGCATGATGGGAGAGAGGGACCAGGCCTCCCAGGCAGCCCCCCCCACACACTCCTGCCTGTCTTTCCCCTTTCTCCTCAGGCTCAGACGCGGGCAGCCCTTCTTCGGGTCCTGCAGGAGGACGAGGAGCACTGGGGAGGCGTGGAGGATCAGCCCAGCAGCCTGGCGCAGGACGTGTGCGAGGTAGGTAGGCGCGGGGTGGGGGGTGGGAGTGTGGTATGGGGTGTGAGGTGGGGTGGAGTGGGGGTGGGAGGGCCGGTGCGGGGGGGCGGCCCTCCTCACCTCTCCTGCTGGCTCGCAGCTGCTGGAAGAGCACACAGAGAGGGCGCCCCGCATCAGCCAGGAGTTCGGGGAGCGGATGGCCCACTGCTGCCTGGGCGGGCTGGCCGAGTTCCTGCAGAGGTAGGGGATGGGGCAGGGGCCGGTCTCGAAGGGGGCTCCAGGACTCAGTATTCAACCGAGAGAGGAGAGATGAGCGGGATCAAGTGTGGGGGGCAGGGGTTCCACAGCGGGGAGGGCAGTGGGGCTCACAGGCTTTGGACCGCTCTGCGCCCCGCCAGGGGCTCCACCTGACCGCCCACCCCTCTCTCCTCCTGCACCAGCTTCCAGCAGCGCGTTGAGCGATTCCACGAGAACCCAGGAGTCCGGGAGCTGCCCCCTGACACCTACATCAGCAGGACCATCGCCCTAGTCAACTGTGGGCCCCCCCTGAGGTGAGAGCGCGGCGGGACATGTGTGTGTGTATGGGTGGGTGTGTGTGTGGAGGGAGAGGCCAGTCCTGGTGACAGCTGAATGGGGTGCCTGGGTCCTGGTGGGGATTGCAGAGCTGAGTGGGGGTGGCACGTACATAGGGCCTTAGGTGCATTGCATCTGGGAGTCCCAGGACTGGAGCCACAGAGTGCCCCGAACATCACTGGGCTGGAATGAGAGACGCCCAGATGCCAGACTCAGAGACTCTGGGACTTACAGATTGTTTTTGCCTTTTAATTTTACTTTATTTTTTCTACTAACTTTTAAAAATTTATTTATTGGTGGGACCAGCAGATGGAATAATGGTTACGTTGCTGGACTCCCACATAGTGGACCATGGTTTGAGTCCCAGACCCGGTGACTTAAAACTCACGTCAGGTTGGGGCCAGCAGGTGGTGTGACACATGGCTGACCGCAGTTCGAGTCCTGGACCTGGAGGCTTGCTTTCTCACTTTCTCTTCCTACCCCTTTCTGGTCAAATTAGAATAAATAAATAAATGCATAAATAAAGTTAAATAATTCTTAAAAAATTTAAGTTTATATATTATTAACAATAATAGCCCATTAATCTTTTGAAATAGATATATTTGATAAAGTATTACCTAATGAATTAAAAGATAAAAACACTAGATAAACGCTAATATTATTATTCATTTTTTCAGTCACAGTCAAAACAAGGTCCATTCTTACATTTGATTGGCATAAGACTCTTTTGACTCATTAACTTCCTCTTTCTCCCCCTTCCCTATTTCTCTTTTGCTACTTATTAGTTGAACACACATCTCATTTTCCTATAAAGAGGAGAATGGAGGAGAAGGGACTGTGGCATGGACAGCCTCCCCGGGCTGTGACTTCTCACTTTTTGTCTCTGTCTCTCTCTCTGTCTCTCCAGCAAGCCCTATAGCAAAAAAACTCTCTTAAAATGATTTATTTAATTACCAGAAGCCGTATGTGCTCACTGGGGTTGCAGGAGGGGGAGCACGGGGAGGGATGGCACGCCTTCCCCGATGGGGCATGGTCATGCTGTGAATTCAACCCTTTCTCCACCCTGTTGGGATGGGGGCACATACGTCTGTTCTCCCGGTGTGTTTTCAAGCTGCTGGGGCCCAGATTCGAAATGAGGTCAGCCATGTGGGATGAGGCTCTGTTAACCACGGCTACAGGGATGGTCAGTTGTACTTTTTTTTTTCCTGAGTCAGTATGTTAAAGGCCTTTTGTTTGTTTGTTTCTTTGGTTTTGCCATAAGGCATGTGCTCTTACCTGAGAGAGACAGAGAGACAGGAACGTGAAAATCAGCCACCAGGGGCTGCTTTCCACACCACAATCCCTTCTTCTCCAGTCTTCTCTTGGGATTTTGTGCACGCGTGCACATGCACCTGGGTCTATTTTTAAGTTGTTGGGTCAGGGATTCAAACTGCACAGTTGACCCTGTGGGATCCAGTGCCTTAACCTCCACGCCACCTGCTGGCCCCCAAACCCTCTTTCTATTATTATTAGTTTTTAGTTTTTATTTTTACCTTTTTGCCATAGGGTGCATGTGCTTGCTGGACAGAGACAGAGAGAGGGGAAGTGAAAAAGCACCCCTAGGGGTGATGGCCACACTGCAATTCCTTCCCCGCCATTCCCCTCTCAGGATTTTGGGCACGCACGCCCATAACCAGCAGGATTCTCAAGCCACCAGGTTCAGGACTTGAACCACATGTGGCTGGCATGTGGTAGCCCAGTGCCTTAACCTCCATGCCACTGCTGAAACCAGAAAGCCTCTTTAAAAACGTATACGTGTTTACTTATTCGATGAATGAGAGAGAGAGAGAAAGAGAAGCAGAGAGGCAGCACCACAGCAAGGTCTTGATGCCAGGACCCACCCCCGGCTTCAGTCAGCTCAGGGTGCTGGGCACTCCTGCTGCAGCAGCGCGTCTCCCACAGACTGGCCCTCCCCACGCAGCTCTGCCTGCGGACCTCCGTGCTTTACCACGGTGCCTCCCCCGGCCGCTATGGCTGATTTTCAGCATTTTTAAATGGGTAATACATTCCTGTAGTTCAGAGTTTGAAAGATACAAAAGGGTGAAGAGTGAAAGTCTCCTTCTCCCTGACTAGGCGCAGGGGCACTCGCTACTTTGACCAGTAAGTAGCAAGCGTATGTGTGTAGGTGTACAGGGAACGTGTGTTGGACAAGTTAAGTATATTTAACTATAATATGTGCACATCCGTCACTGCTTTCCTGATTCTTTGTTTTGTTTTTTATTTTTTGTTCCTTTTTTTATTTTTTAAAGAGGGATTTTGGCTGTAGGGCATGTGTGTTCACTGGAGAGACAAGGACAGAGAGAAAGTGAGAAATCACCCCCCAGGGAGCTGGCTGCAACACAATCCCTTCTCTTTTATTCTCCTCTTGGGATTTTGGGCATACATGCACACTTGCCTGGTGTGAGTTGTAAGCCGCTGGGTCTGGGACTTGAACCACAATCAATTACATGGGAGTCCAGTGATGTAAACATTATGCCATCTGCTGGCCCCTCTTTCTTTCTTTCTTTCTTTCTTTTTTTTTTTTTTTT